TAGTGGTAGATGTAGTCGGCAAACCTCGGCGAACTTGCCAAACAACCACTTTCCTCTTGCCATCATCTTCCCCGCTGCTCGTTCACGATGACCTGCTGCCCTATCCGACGAAATTACTGTCTCGCCCGCTGGACCGCACTTCCCAATGCGGAAGTCCTAATCATCCCTTCTGGAACTTGTCAAGCCCGAGGCTGACCCGCCCCATCTCTATAAAAACACCTGCCCCTCACCCCCTCTCACCGATCGCTCAACGATGTCGACCACCACCACCACTACGTGCACCGGAAGTACCACCATCATCGCTCTCTCAAGCCAGGGTAACCTCTACCGTCTCCCCACGGACATGGTCGAGGCGTCCCGCGAGATGTTCATGGAGGTAGAGAGGCGCTTCGTCAATAGTGTGACGGGGAGGGAGGAGGAGAAGGTGGTGTTGATGTATGTACCGGAGATGAGGGGGAAGAGGTTTACGAGTGCGTTTTTGGAGCTTTATTTCGAGGTGGAGAAGTATCCGGTGTATGGGTATGGTATGTTCGGCCATCGTCGTGTCTTGAGAGATTAGTGGCTGACAGGTGACTTCTGTAGGTGGTGTGTGGAGGCCTGTTGTTCCTCAGGACTTCTGCGAGGAGCCTACCAGGGGCCTTGGGTCTGGTATGTTCAGCATCAGCACGTCTCTTAGCATCGGTGGCTGACGTTCGTCGATTTCTGCAGGTGGTACCTCGAGACGCGTACCGCCTCAAGGTATCCGCCGGAAACTCACCAAGAACCTTGGGCTCAGTACGTCCAGACTCATCATCTCTCTCACGTTTAGTGGCTGACCTTGATATGCCTTCTGTAGGTCGCATCCCAAGACTCGTCCTTCCTCAAGGTACCCGTCCCGGGCCTACCAAGGAGCTTGCGTCTGGTACGTTCAGACTCATCATCTCTCACGTTTAGTGGCTGACATTCATCTGACTTCTACAGGTAATGTCTCCAGGCCCGTCCATCCTCAAGTCACCCGTCCCGAACCGACCAGCCCCTTCGGCGTCTCGCTCAACACCCTCAAGACTGGCACATCGTCCGACACCCTCACCCCGCCGAAGGACCTATGCACATCGTGCCAACGAATCCTCGATCGCGGTGCGAAGGGCGATCAGGTGGGCGAAGAGTCCGTAGGGGTCAAGGGAAAGCCGGTTTACGACCACGCTGATCCCGCGTTGTCCAAGGTTCGTTTCGTCACCCCTGTAATCCTCTTCTCTACCAATCATGCTTATATTCCCTAGGCCAAGGCGCCCTACCCCAAAGAAGTCGTGGACATGGCGCAGACGCTCCTGGACCTCGACGACTTGAAACTCTGCACCGCCAAGATCACTTCACGCATCGAAGGGCTCCTCCCTACCTGGGTCGCGACGAAGCTCACCGAAATCGAGGACGGTGCCCCGGCCGCTGTGTTCGCTACGTTTGCTGGGAAGGCGCTGGATCTCAGTACGCCTGTGCCAGCCAAGATGTACATGGACAAGGAGACGGACGTCGTGGACCTCTTGCCAATCGACACGGCGTCTCTGGAGGCTGACACACTGGACTTCATCGTCACGCCAGCCTCCGCTGTTACGTCATACTGGGATCTGCGAGGGGACCAAGATTCCAAGGAGCGGTCGTACTGGAACCTCCACGATCCAGAGGTCCTCCCGCCCATGGCCGCTAGCGAGCTCGGCAACAAGGAGCCCAGCGTCCCGGAGCCCGATCTCGTCATTTCCCCGGTGCTCGACAGGACGACCACGGAGCAGTTGATTGCCCTCGCGAAGCAGGGTGTCGAGCACCGGAGGGAGCTCCTGAGGGAGATGAGGGAGAGGAGGGAGAGGTACGAGGAGTGGCTTGCCACGATGGCGAGGAGGAGGGAGAGCCAGAGCCAGAGCCGGGGGAGTGAGGGGGCGACGATGGTTGACTCGACTCCGGGGCAAATCCAGGAGCACCAGGAGAACGACCAGGTTGTCCAGGTAAAGAAGGACGCGTCGCTTGAGTGGTTCCCTTTGGAGGTGGGGGGTGCGGGGGAGAGGGAGGAGATGCCGGGGATCCATGAGGTGCTTGCGGGGACGATGGGGGGTGAGGTGGGGGTGGTGGAGAGGAGCGATGAGGAGGGGCCGGTTGGGGAGGATGCGGGTGTGGTCGCGCGGGAGGTGGAGGAGGGGTTGTATCACGGAGATGAGGAGAGCGTGGATGCAGACCTTGGAATTGACAAAGAAGATGAGGGGGTCGAGGACGTGGCGTCTGGGGATAATCTGGCGGAGGATGCGTCTTACGAGGGGGATGACGGGAGCGAGGAATGCGATGAGCGCGGTGGGGAGGATCTGCCAGCCGAAGCCGATGTTGAGGATGATCACGGGGGCTCGGGTGTTCTCAGGAAGGCTTACCTGATCCAGGGATACCCCGAGATGGATGTGTTTGGCCCGGTGTATCGTGTTGCAGAGGCGGAAGCAGAGGCGGAGGCGATGATCATCGAGCCTGCGCCTGACATAACGTCTTGCCAAGTCTGGATCGAGGGTGCTGCGCAAGACCCTGAGGCCGTAGCTGTTGGCAATGTGTCATGCGAGTTTGGGATGGAGGGCGGTGTCTCGTTCGTTGTCGACGCCCGAGGTTCTGAGCCTGCTTCCGACTCCACCGCCGCCGATACCTCCACATGCGAAGACGTTCATGTCCAAGCTATCGACGTAGGACCACAGTCTAACGCCGAAGACGTGACCGTGAAGGACGGAAGCGACCTTCCTAAGACGGAGACGGCGGATACGGAGCTGCTGCCCGATCCCGCTCGGACCGAAATAGTCTCACAAGTTCACGAGACCTTCGCCACACCCGCCTTCACCTCCCCACCAGAAGCCGGCGACCTGGACGGGGCGATCTCGGAGCCCGGAGTCATCGACGAGTTGCACGGTGCGATCTGGAAGCCCGAAGTCATCATAGCTCCTGATCCCGACCTTTCGGAGATGAGTACACTCCAGGAGCTGATGGCTCGGTTCGCGGCCATCGAGGAGGGTACCAGGGTGTTGGAGGAGAAGACGGCTGTGCTGAATGGGAAAGTGGAGGTGATGAGCGAGATGGTGGAGAGGAGGGGGGATTCGTTGATTTTTGGATATGACAGCGTCTTGGTGCGGGATGCGGGGGATGAGCAGATGGGGATGGGTGATGAAGTTGGTGTGATTGATGATTTGTATGACTGGGGGATTGAGGTTTCTGTCCAGAAGGAGTGTCCGGAAGACAGGTCCAGTGATGGGATGCGTCAACCAGTGCCGCTGGACCATGACGTGGCGGACGACGGCGCTGACAGTGATACTTGTGGCGGACCGTATCGCTTGGGGACCGAGGCCGACGACCGATCCTCGCGGATGGTCGCTGCGAGTCCCGAACCTCTTACGGTCACGAAGAGCGCTGTGAAGCTGAGCGAAGGTCTCGCGGATGACGATGTGTTCGGCGGAGGCCCGTCTATCCTCGATACCGGCGAAGCAGAGAACCCTGTCAAGACGAGGTTCGATGCGGTCGTCCGGGACATACAGAATGGCAATGGCAACCTCCGGAAGCCAGCGTGCGAGACCAAGGCCAGCGACCGATCTTCGCCGATGGCTGCTGCAAGTCCCGAACCTGTTGTGGTCACGAAGAGCGCTATGAGCGCGAGCGAAGGCCAGACGGATGGCGATGTCTTTGGCGGAGGCCCGTACATTCTGAACACCGGCGGAGGAGCTCAGCATTCAGAGAACCCCGCCAAGAGGCTGTCCGGGGCGGTCCTCCAGGACATACAGAATGGCAACCTCCGGAAGCCAGCGTGCGATGGAGGGTGCAAGAATGTGGAGTTGGCGATGTGTATGTGTGGGAATGGGCGGGGAAAGTGTAAGGAGGTCGATGTGAGTTCTCTTTTAACTTTAATTCGCCAGCCTGTTTCTGATAGGTCTTCTCCTGCTAGCCCATCGACCCATCGACCCCCGAAAGGCCTAGAAATCGTCGGCCGATGTCCACCCCTTCCCCTCCCCCCTCCCCCGCCCCTTCCCCTTCCCCTTCCATCGACCCCGTAGGCAAGAAGCGTCGCGGAGTCTCCGCCATCTTCGGATTCAACACCACGTCCCCCGAGCTCCTCGAACGACGGGACACCCTCTCTCACGTCAACGGCCGAAAGCTCCCCCAGTCACCGTCGAAGAAGGGGTTCCAGCTGCCCAAGCTCCGGGGCACGGGTCGCCTGCTGAACGGGTCTTGGAAGCCTGCGTCTCAGGGTGGTGCTGGATCTGGTGGGCCGAGTAGTGCGTTTGGGAAGGGGTTGTGGGGGGAGGCGATACGGGCGGTGAGGTTGCCGGGGAGGGATAAGACGAATGAGGGGGTTGCGGTGGGAGGGGATGGGAAGGGGAAGCCGGACCTTGCGCTGTTGATGCCGAAGGCGGTGAATGTGCAGTTGTATGCGATGAAGCGATGATACCCTTTCCTTTCCTCTTTTTCCTCTATTCTTTTTCTCTTTTCAACTCTTCCTTTCCTCCTTTCCTTCCATTCTTCATCTCTGTTCGATTTCATTCTCTTCTCTTCCTCTCCCTTTTCTTCTTTATACGACGCAGTGGATGTTCAGGAGCTTGTGGTAGCACAGGCTACCTCGGAACGGGGCGGAGGGTATACGACCACCAGGGTTGATATACTTTATCCAGGTGGAGGATGTACGACCGACAGGGTCGATATGCCTTAGGGATGGGAGGATGTACAACCAACAGGGTTGATCTTACCTTATCCAGGTGTTCGGAGGTGCTTTAGCTACCACATTCTTCTTGACTTGGATTGTATCGCCACAGAATCTTACTTTATTCTTATTTATCTACATATTCTTATTTATCTACATCTGTTGAATGCATATACCCTCTTTACATGACTCGCTCGTTTACTTTGGGTGTCTACATCCTTCCTGAGAAAAGATCAGAGATGGACGTCGTGAGGTGTGTCAGCATCGCTTTATCAAGACACCAACAGAATACAGAGTAAGAAAAGATAGACATTTCGAGGACCCCTTAGCTCAGTGGTAGAGTGTGTGATTCCAGTTACTTGGAGCTTCCACAAAGTCATCCGTTCAAATCGGGTAGGGGTCACTTTTTTGGTCAAGTTATCAGCATCGTCATGGTAGGTTCCTTGAGTTGTTGGATGGAATATCAGTAAGGCTCCAACCGTACTATCTATTTACCATATATATACAGTAGATACCGTATATGTTTACGTATATGTATAGGCCTGTTTGAAAAATCGTCCTATACAGTAGATATACAGTATACTATATGATTATACTGTTAATTTTTCCCCTACGGAAATCTGTGGCTTTCCTGTGGCCTAGGTTCATGTTGCAGTGATAGGTCGCAATTGAGGAGGTGTCAGATAACGACGAGAGAACGAGGGACGTTTTTGGACAAGGCGTGACCAAAAACACCTCTCGGATCGGGCTTGGCCTATTTTTAGATCGTCCACGGCGAGCTACTCCAAAATTGTAACGCGTTCTGCACGTTCTTCTGACGTATCTCAGTGACAAGTTTCATTGTTTGTGAGTTGAGCTACATGTTGCTTTTTGGACTGTCAGGTCAGACCCTGGAAATGCAGGGAATGTGTCCCTATCATATACAAGCAATTCTCAACTTACATACCCAGGTCGATTGGAGATCGGTTGTCCACCGCATAACGATTTATTGCTCAAAAATTTGAGGTCATTTCGAAATCTCTACCTCCGTCCTCCCCCATCGCGGACGTCAGGAGTTCCTTGAAGGCCGAGACAATCAGTCAAGCTCCCGTTGTCGAAGGTATGGATTCGGTCGTCATTATTTGATCTCAAAGAGCCCACCAGTTCCGCTCAAAAAGCATGGCTCGGTTTGACCCTATAACAACTGTCTGTATGTTACCGTATAACCATATATATACTGTAAATACACACTATAAAACTGTATCCGTATATCTACCCCTTCCGCCGTATACGGATACAGTACGGTTGGAGCCTTAATTATATCAGACTTCCGTTCCTATTCAAGGGATGCTGTATAGCCGTCGAAGAAGGGAATTTGTCTACAGAGGGATGTTGGTTTCGCAGCGGCCGTCGCTGAGGTCGAGCCTTGTCTGCGGACGCGTTGTTTGTTTCTGCTTGCTGGTTGAACTTCAGTTTTGCCCACTCACTACACATTGGCTTCTGAATGGGTAGCCGAGTGGGTGCTCGTCCAAGCTCAATTTATCTTATCTCGTGGTGGGTGGAAGCCACACAAATGTGACCTCCTTTTCATGGACAAACCGGGTTCATTTTTCAAAGTCGTCTTGAGTCGGATTCAAGTAGCATCTCCGAAACCATGGCCCTCGACGCGGCGCGCGGAAGTCTGGCCCAGACCCAACTGGAACCCTCAATGAGACACTTGGAAAATCTATCCTCTATCCGTCCCGCAGATACTCAATAACGTGGCCGAAAATTCAGGTATATAAACCTCCTAAACGCCCTTTCGAAAAGGATCCCTCTTGTCTTCTCCCCCCACCCACCCAAACCCACAACCCTCGCAAAGCATGTCTTCCCCATCGTTCGGCATCAACTTCTCCAGTGAATACAGCCATTCCATGTCGCACGAACCCTACTGACGTCGCGTAGAGCAATGTATCGTCGTGACTGGAGGTAACCGCGGCATCGGTTATGAGTATTCCAGAGCGATCGCCAAGGCTGGTGGCAACGTCGCCCTTATCTACAGGTCGGGCTCGCCTTTCCTTTCATACGTCGTGGAAAACCTGATCGATATCCTGTACAGGACCTCAAAGGATGCGCCAGACGTCGCGAATAAGATCGCAAAAGAATTCAATGTCTCAGCCAAGGTACATGCGCGACTGATCTTGACTTCGTCACTATCTAACCGCTGTGTAGGCTTACCAATGCGACGTTACCGACACGGAGCGCATCAACCAGATCTTGAAACAGATCAACGACGAGATGGGACCCGTCACTGGTCTCATTGCGGTACGTGTCCTTTCTTCGAGTCGAGCCTTTGTGATGTGACTCTCCCGCATGTAGAACGCCGGCATCGCCGTCGTGAAACCTGCCGTTGACCTCACCCACGAGGATTTCAGGAATGTGTACGATGTGAATGTCTTTGGCGTCTTCAACACGTCTCGTGCCATGGCCAAGTCAGTATATAAATTATTCTGCATATATATGAGAGTCTGCTCACACTGATTGTGATAGATTATGGATGGAAAAGAAGTTCAAGAAGGGCTCCATCGTCATCACCTCCTCGATAAGCGGGCATATCATCAACCAGGCGGCGCTGAACGAGCCGATGACGATGGTAAGCTTTCTTCTATTTATGGTTAGTTTGCGGCACGACTCAATCCGCGGCTGCAGGTATTCTACAACTCGTCAAAGGCAGCCGTCACCAACTTGACGAAAGGTCTTGCTGCAGAGTGGGTGTCCCACGGTATCCGAGTCAATGCCCTCTCTCCCGGATATGGTACGTTGCACCCTTCCGCAGAAACTCATACTGAACTTCCGACTCTATATAGTCAACACTGACATGACAGGGTCCATGGACAAGAAAGCACGGGAGTTCCAGGCTAGCGGTATCCCTATGAAGCGCTTCGGCGAGGCAAGTGTCCCATGCTCAACCTAACCATTGCCCGCTGATTTTTCCCGCAGCCGAAGGAGATGGCGGGACAAGCCATGTTGCTGCTCTCTGAGCATGCTAGTTACATGACCGGCGGTGAATACGTTGTAGACGGGTAAGTCTGACGTACAAATTACTGAACCCAGATTGACGGAGCTTCACGTGTTAATAGCGGGCAGCTCATCTGGTAGAGACCTCGTCTGGTAGAGACCTTGACAATTGCGGACAATAGAACTTGGATTGTACTAGACTTGGACTTGGACTTATAGACATGTATAGACCTTCTTTGGGAGTCTCTAACTCCCCACTAGACGCGGTGATTGAGACGAGACGTTTTGTGAATGATTTCTCCTCAGGTTGGGCGTCGTTGCTCCCTGGACCTAGACAGGTTCAACACACGGGTCGACATTCCGTATGTACATGTATGTGCATCAGGTCTTGACCCAGATCTCTAGCGGGCGTTCTTCCTCGCCTCGCATGGCTTCATCAAGATGAGATATGCGTACATCATACATAAGGGGACTCAGTTTAATTGCAGACGTATGATGCGACTCGAAAGGCAGTGTGTTCATCGCAAAGCTGACGCGGGTGGGATCGTCGTTTGATGGTGTCCGAAGTAGCTTTCCGCACTCCTGAAGACGAAAGATGCTGGCTGTTCTTTTGAGAGGGGCGGCATTTCTCGAGCGACACGCCGCGGGTGATGACTTTAGTGTCCTTGCAACAAATAATTTACTCCTTATTTATTATACCCCAGATGGGTGTGCGGGAATCATTGACGGCAGATGCCATGTACAAACCACCGACGCAATCAAGAACGGCGCAGTTAGATAGGTATATTCTCTTGTGTTTCATCAAGCAGCTGAGTGATCCCGAAAGCACGCCCAAAGGTGCTAAACACGGAACAACCTGGAGATTACGTTTCTGGCGGTAGGCTATGCGCAAAAGAGATCGGAGTATGTGGCAGACAAGACCTTGGCGGCGCACGAGAATGAGTTACAACCAGGTGGGCTGTGGATTCAGAGAGCTGGAAATAGAAACCCCGCTGCGCAGAGCAAGATCAACTTATAATTCTGCGCCTAAACTAAGCCCCAAGCTGAACCACTCTTGAGATGATACCATCAGGCCAATGCACATCGCAATCATCGCTGAAACTTAAGAGGCCGCGACACTAAATGTACTGGACGATAGAGATCTCTGTATGATGACACCCTACGAATGACAGGAAATCGGTCAGAATGCACGCGTAGCCCGCTCCGAAGAAGGAATATGTAGACGCACAGCTTTCGATGCAGTAGTTGTTGTATATTGTGTGCGGATCACGGTGTTTCGGTGCACGACTCGTATCAATCTTAGCTGCGGGTGCTTACAGGTAAAGGGGACGCGAGAATAGGAGGCCATGTACAGGTATTCCGTCAGCGGTTCGGGGACCTGACAGTATTTCGTGACTCTGGACCAGCAGAATAGCCCCAGAATCCGTACCTGTTGTTGCCAACTCTACTCGCTGACTCGCTGCTCAGTGACTGCCCGAGACTTGAGGCCTTGAGGCGCCCGCTTCTAGTTTCATTCTTGCTCTCGGGCGCAGAGGGTGAAGAAAGGCTTGTAATAAAATGGTGTCATTGTCTCGCTGATAATGACTGCGGACTTGTCGAAGTTGACCGGAAGGATGATGTTTTCGGAGAACCCGAGGAACGAGGGTGATCCGAAAAGAGGGTCTACGTGATGAGTAAGCGTCGGTGGCGGGCACCCGCTTTGCTGCCCGCCACCACAGGAAAGCTCACTCAGTCACTCGAAATCGTGCATCACGATTCCTTTTTGCATTAAAAAAACTCTATCTACTTGCTTATTACATTTTCTGGCCATGCCCGTCATACACAACGACCCCAACGAGGCAATTTGCCCCGACTTTGCATCACAAGACTATGAAGGTGCTCGGAACGCTCTCATTCGAGACGGGATCGACGACGCGACAGCGACCGTGATGCTGACCCAGACCTGGAACGCTAGCAACGCGGTTGAGAGGACGATGTGGGCTCGTCAGGTGGAAGCAGAACAGGCGGCGGCGGCCGAGGCAGAACGCGAGATCCAGGCGACACAGGCACGCCAGGAGGAAGCGAGGAGTCACGAGGACGAAGCCTCGCGCGCCGAGGAGCGCAAGAAGCACAGGGCCAAGTACATCGAGATCCCCGAGGTTCCCCCGCCGAGCACCCCGCCCGAGATCTTATCGGCGTACGCGACCACTCGGCTCCAAAAGGGGAACTACGTCGAGCTGTGGTATTTCACCAACGACGGCCTCGATCACGCGCTCAAGAACTCTGCGACACTGGACGAGAGCGCTATGGTTCAGACCTTCGACAAGGAGGGCCGCGCGACCTGGGTTTCTGCAGCGGCGTCGAGGGAGGCGCGCTCTGCCGTGGATGACAGGAATCTGACGTGGGAGGAGGTCCAGATCGCGGTCCCTCGCTTCCTGGACGCGATAC